AGAAGAAGGTACTTACAAGGGACTGGAAGGAGGAAGGAGAGAGTCACCATACAAGGTAATTAAAGGTTGACAACCTCCACTTGTTCAGAAGTGCCTGTATGCTCTTTACTCTTCACTGACTTAAATTTTTTTCATTTTAGAGAGAGGGAGAAGGAGGGAGAAGAAGAGGGAAAGAAACATCAACACAAAAGAGGCACATTCGAAGATCGCCTTCCATACACATCGCATCCTGGGACTGAACCCGCAACCCAGGCATGTTTCTCAATCAGGAATGGAAATGGTGACGTTTCGGTTTGCGGAATGACACCCATCCAACTGAGCCACATTGACTGGGGCTACTCTTCACCAATGAACAGAGATCTGAGGAACTCCTCAAACGTAAAAAGAGAGAACAAAGGAACAAACAGTGAAGGAAAAAAGGGAACCTGAAACAGACCAAATACAGGAGAAAATTTCACAAAAGCTGCCATTAACATCCTCAAAAATAAAAAGGATATTGTGTTAATGAAGTAAGTTGCAGGGAACAAAAAGGAATTCTTGAAAATTAAAAACAGAACAGCAATAATTTAAAATTCAAAAAAGGTTTAAAGACAAAGTTGAAGAAGCTTCCTATAAAATAGGTAGAGTAAAATAAATATACAAAAAAGAAAAACTTACGAGGTTCAATGCGGGAGAATAAACATCTGATTAGGAGTCCTAGAAAGAGCCCTGGCCAGTGTGGCTCAACTGGTTGGTGTCATTCCATAACCAAAAGGTTGCAGGTTTGATCCCCAGTGTGGGCACAGGTGACTCCCTGGCTGGATGCGTACAATCCCCATTTGAGGCACTGTTCCCCAAGGTCTGGATGTGTACATGAGTATAGGGAACCAATCCACCTGGCAATGGTACTTGTAGCCCAGTCCTATTAGAAAGCCCATAGGTGCGTGTCAGCAGACAAGATGCCAAACCCATGGATTGGCTCTACCATGGGAAACCAGGCCTGCATTGTACCTAGGCTGCTTTGAGGCATGCTCTTGCTAAAACTCCCTCACCCAGAGTTGAAGCTGCAAATGCTTACTGCATATCTTTAAAGTAACTTCCTGAAGTCTGTGCTAATTCTCCCAAGGACAAAGTGTAACCAGACCAATTACTCTTATGTTCCCTTGCATTTGCAACATTTTTTCCTTGCTAATCTGTAGGAAGTAATCGGTAACATCCTTTCCTTTGTTATCTGTAAAAAGTAATCACCTAAAGCAAACCTGAGTAGAATGAATGAAAACCTTCTTCGATGTATGCCATTAGAAAGCAATAAAAGCCTGTCCAGGCAAGGGTCGAGATGCTCTCCTATTGAGAGAGTGGCCAAGGCGCTCTCTCAGACAGTGGCAGAGCCATCCCATTTTCTCCACAGGACTTCAATAGCCCGTGTGGATTTGTTCATCTCATCCACAATACTGTGGACACTGCTGGCCAGAGCCCATATCACATGAGGCAACCAATTGATGCTTCTCTCTTGCATCAATGTTTCTCTCTCTCTCTAAAACCAATGGGGGAAAAAATGTCCTTAGGTGAGGATGAGAAAAAAAAAAGTTACAGAAAAAGAATAAACAAAGGGGAGGAAATAATCAATGAAATAATTCAAGAAAATGCCCCAGCACTGGCTGGTGTAGCTCAATGGACTGAACGCAGGCAGTGAACCAAATGGTTGCCGGTTCAATTCCCAGTCAGGACACATGCTTGGGTTGTGGGCCAGGTCCCCAGTGGAGGGCATGCAGGAGGCAACCACCATTGATGTTTCTCTCCCTCTCTTTCTCCTTCCCTTCCCTTCTCTCTAAAAATAAATAAATAAATAAATAAATAAATGCTTTAGAAAGAAAAAGAATATGCCCCAGAACTAAAGAAACTAAATTTGTAGATCAAAAGGGCCCCACTAAATACACACAAAACACAGCAACAAGGCATAACCTTGTGAACTTTATGAACAAAGTGAAGAGTATACAAGCTTTCTAAACAAGAGGGACAAAAATCCCATACAAAAAAGATCAAACATCAAAATAACCTCAGATTTAATAGGAACTCTGGAAACTAAAAGACAATGCCTTCAAAAGTCTAAGCACAAATTATTTCCAGCCTAGTATTTTATATCAGCCAAACTATCAAACAAGTGTTAAGAACAAAAATATATTCAGATAATGCAGGGTCACAAAAAAATTTATCTCCCACACTCCCTTTCTCAGGAAACTACTGAATATGAGTAAGTAAACCAAACACGAGTTAAAACATGGGATCCAACACAAGAGGGAGTTGAAGGGAGTCCCTAAGACCATAGCTGTTCACCAGACTACAGTAGACTGAAGGAATATATAAGGGTCCAAGGGTCCAGATGAGACTTACTTAAGATGATGAGAATGACAAATTATTGATATATTAAATCATGGGGGAAACAAACAAAAACTAGGAGACTTTTACTATAAATTATCAATCAATATATAGACTTACTAATAACCCTCTCTCTCCCTCACTAAAACACACACATTTTACAGAAAATTGAAACAACAACAACCTTGTGAGGACAACGCAAACTCAGGACACTATGTGACTAAGATCAGTATACTGTTAACATAATAATGTACACACTGAATTTCTAACCAAAATTATAACATATTAGGGAAAACATGAAAGAGGATGCCAGAGATGCGGTGGGAGGTGAGACCCAATGCATGGAAGGATGAAAAATAACTAACCCACAACTTCTATGAATAGAAGTAAAAAATAATCCAGATAATGAAATTTTGACATTCAAAGTAAGTATCAAATGATCCAGCCCTGGCTGGTGTGGCTCTGTGGATTGAGCACAGGTCTGTGAACCCAAAAGTCATACCAGTTTGATTCCCAGTCAGGGCACAAACCTGGGTTGCAGGCCAGGTTCCCAGCTGGAGGCGTGTGAGGGGCAACCAATCGATGTATCTCTCATACATCGATGTTTCTCTATCTTCCTCCCTCCCTTCCCCTCTTTCTAAAAATACATAAATAATTAAATTATATGCACTATTATAAAATTAATGACCTAAATAATAATAATATTATCTCATGAAACAGAGTTTTCTAACACCGTTGGAATACTTAGCTTCCCTAAGAAAACAATAAACATGAATGATGACAGTAATGTGAACAGTCTAGTACGATTTTTAATTTTTACACTGATAACTTATGCTGCTACAAAACATTAACAGTGGTCATAGTTTCTGTTGCTGGGGTGCAGGAGTACTTTGAGAGCATCAGTCCAAAATTTCTCCTACTAGGTAATAACAATAGCAAGACTGATGATTCTACTAGGTATATGCTATGAAGGAGATGAACAGAAAAAGGAGCACATTCAAAGAAAAATGGAGACTTAACTACTAAGAGTGTTAATTAAGCTTTTCAGAACTTGGCTGGCTATAGCTTGCTATAAACTACAGGAAAAAGGAAACACGTCAGAAGTGGTTTGTGAATTTTCATTCGGGAGATGTTTCTTTGGACGATGCTCCACAGCCTAAGTGGACAGAGATTAAACTGAGACACTAATTGAGAACAATCAATTTATTACCACATGGGACACAGTTGACATGCTCAAAATATCCAAATCAGTATTTATTGGTGAAAATGAAAAATGTCTTTTATTTTACAGAAAAAAACTAAACAGACTTTTGGCCAACTCAGTATATTTTTATGTCGTGTGTGTGTGTGTGTGTGTGTGTGTGTGTGTGTCTCATCTTTACAACACAAGATTAGAAATAAGCTAACATCCATCAATAGAAGAATGGTTACATAAAGCATAGCATATTCAAAAAGTAAAAAACTATGCAGCTGTAAAAAGAGAAGAGGAGGAAGTTTGCACTAATATGGAAAAATCTTCAAGTAAAAAAAGCAACTGTAGAAAGAAAATACAATATGCTACTTTTATGTTAAAATTAAATAGCTAGGGATATGAGACTACATATGCGGATTTACAGAAAGAAACTTTCATAACAACTGGTTTGAAAGGAGGGGTAAAGAATGGGGCAGATCAGACAAAAGGAGGGACTAAGTTGATTATTTAAAATCGTGTTGTGTATGTAACCTATTCAAAAACTAAAATGTATATATTAAAACTACAATAAGCCCAAGCTGGTCTGGTTCAGTTGGTTGGATGTTGTACTGCAAGGGGAAAAGTCACCAGTTCAATTCCTGGTCAGGGGCGCATGTCTAGGTTGCAAGCCTAGTCCCAAGTTGGGGATACGCGAGAGGCAGCTGATTGATGTTTCTCTTCCTCTCTTTCTCCCTCCCTTGCTCTCCCTCTAAAAAATAAATAAAATCTTAAAAAAAAAGTACAATAAAGTCACAAACCATCTTAACAGAAAAAAAGGAACTCAAGATCAAGTTTCAGCCCCTGTCTTACAGCATTTTGAAGATAAATCACCTGAGAGTCTAACAAAGTATTAATGGTAATACTCTAAAAATTAAAATTCAAAATTCACCCTGGCAGGATGGCTCTGTTGGTTGAAGCGTCATCCCCTACCCCAGAAGGTTGTGGGTTTGATCCCTGGTCAGGGCACATATCCAGAAGTTAAGGGTTCAGTCCCCTTTCAGGGCACATACAGGAGGTAACCAATACATGTTTCCCTCACTTTCTCTCTCTCTCAAACCAATATATATATCTCCTCAGGTGAGAATTTTAAGAAAATTCAAAATAACTCATAAGTATTTTAAATAATGGTTTCAGCTTTAACTTATGAACAGCAACATAAACCTGACAATTAAAGTTAGGGTAATAAATATACTGGAAAGTGATTCTGGATGATGTAAACTTTAGGGTGAATAAGTCTAACACTTTCCTGGCATCTACAGATAGAATAAAACAGTCATTTACAAAATCCAAAAAAGCAAAATAAATTAATAAGTATTCACAAAACACTCAAAGGTAAAAATTGAGTTATACTAAATGCAAATGCAGTTTATAATTCCAAACCATCTTATTATGTGACCTCAAGTTCAAATATTACCTTTCATTTTTGAGTGTGTGTTAATTAGCGGATCAGAGCAAATCCTGCAGGGCCACCACGGGCGCCTCTTGAATTTTGCCCAGATGAGATCTCCAACTTCATACTTCAGTGGCGCAGACTTTTTCTTGGGTTGACACTTTAGACAGACAAAACACAGAACATCAATAAGAATCAAAAGTTTCTGAAACAATATATCATCTCACAGCCTTCTAACATAGCAATGGCTAAAAAAAATTCTAGATGAAAATACTCCAGTTTAACAATTACAACTAAAATACTCTTTTAATTGGTCATAACATAGCCCTTCATACAGTAGAGCTCTCAATTTGTATTTGTTTTATGTAAGTAATCTACCCACATTCTGGAAAAATAATTTATTTTTATTTATAAAGACCTAAAAACTGAAATAAACAGAATCATCCCAAGGAAAAGATTATCTTTGCCTTAGTCCTTGGATAACAACACATCAGGGGGGAAAAAAGAGAGAGAAAAAATGTTTTTTAAAGTTAACAATGTCAAGAGACTGTGATCCCAGTACAGTGTTATTTGTCCATTTTATCTCCATAAAACTGGGGGAAGTGGGACTGAGACTGTGGTCCCTCCTACAGGTGATATTCTACATACTTTCAGACATCCTACTCATTAATTAACAATTAATTAACAAAAACACAGATACCTTATTCATTAATTAAAAATAATGGCTCCAACAAAATAATCCTGGAAACTACAGGGCAGATTCTAGGAACGTCAGTACAACTGACTTGGTTATTTCCCAGGATACGCAGCGGGGCTTATCTAAGACCAGAGCAGTGCACGACCCCAAAGGACAACATTCATGCAGAACACCATGTGCATTAAGCTCCTTGGACTTGTCCAATGCAGAGACCCTGGCTGAATCGTTTTTCCAAAAATAACAGACCTAACTGATCTGCAATTCAAATGCCTCCATTTCAGCCCTAAACCCATGTCTGTGCCTTATCACCCCATAAACAGTACAGATCTCCTTCCTGTCCTGAGAGGAAGACAACTTTGTAATTAGTAAAACAGCTTCCCACCTGATAACCACAAAAAGGAATGGCAAGTATTGCTGGGATGTTTCTGGGCAAAAGAAGCACTAGGGTACTTCAACAAAGAATAATCTACTCCATTTACCCCAAGGGGATGTACAAATACTATTTTGATTTTCTGTAAGTGCCATGTCTTTTTTCTAATTAATTAATCAAATTTAATTAATCTTTATTTTTAAAAAGATTTTTAAAATTTATTTTTAGAGAGGGGAAGGAAGTAGAAAGAGAGGGAAAGAAACAGCAATGTGTAGTTGCCTCTTACATGCCCCCTAACTGGGGATCTGGCCGACAACCCAAGCATGTGCTCTGACTGGGAATCAAACTGGTGACCCTTTGGTTTGCAAGCTGATATACGTGCCAGGTCTTTTAAAAAGACTTGGTGAGCTATTCCCTCAGGTTCCAGCTTCCCGCTAAGGCTTAAAACAATGTGTGCCTGGCAGATTAAGTATTCAAAAAGAGCATACTGAATGAATTGACTAAAGTCATTCAAATAAAAATAATGAATAATGCCTGAGACTCAAGGATATCAAAAAACTGGGCTCAATTCAATGATTTATAAATTACCATTCAAGTTTTAAAACTCTGTATTCATACAGAACTAAGTTAAATCTCATACAATGCCCTTATTCTATGAAAATTCTGTGATTAGTATAGTTACTAGGAAATGAGACAAACTACATCTCACTACATAAACAAATTTTTAAAAAGCCCAATAGGCCACTTTTGCCTGTTACAAGTTTGTTAGTTATCAGAACAGCAACAACAAAAAAACCATGACTTCAAGGCTAGTTGGCTTTGAAACTTTAAAAAAACCAAGCTACCAAGACAGATGGAAAAACAAATCTTTTACTTGCCTCTACTGAAAACTATAATTTGAGTAGATTTTCCATAAATTTCTGATATAACTTTATTTGTGATCAATTAATATACTTGACAATCATGGCTAAGTATGAAATCTGCTTGTCTATTAAAGTCCTAAGTGACTTTAAATAAACTAACATTTGGTGTTTGCTATGTGCCAGACACTGTTCTTCCTTCAACCCTCTCAAGGTAGACACCATATTATTACTACACTACTATATGCCTATGGTCATGTACTTAGTCATATAGTTAAGTGGCAGAGCCAGGACTCAAACCTGGGTAATCCAATGCTGGATCCCAAACTCTCAACCACTACCTTATGATCCAATAACAAAATAAAACCATTATTACTACATACTTCATGACAAATTCAGCCATAACCAACCTATGACATGAGGTTGGTTCTATCTGTCCCACTTATTACTACTACAAAGTAATTATGTTATTAGGAAGTATAACTATAAAACAGATGCCTTCAATAGATAGCTGAAAAATAATATGAGTGTTCTTTCTCACACAACCAGAATCATACAACCAGACAAAGCAGTAATGAGTTCTGTCTTCTGATTCCATTACAAATTATGTTGCCATAAACAAGACAATTAATTCAGCCTCAGTTTCCAAAGTCATAAAATCAGGAAAGAAATTATCTGCTCTACTACAAAGCATCAAAATGAAATAATTACTAATTCCACTCCTAATATTTTCACCCAAAGAAAATAATCCAAACAAGCAAAAGATTGTAGAAAGATAGTTAAAGCAATTACTTATAACAAAAAGTTAACATTCAACAAGAGACCTGTTAAACAAATTATGCTGACAACTCAATGAACTATGCAAAGTACAGATAAAGTTATGGGATATACACATCCAATATATCAACCATCAGATACTAGGCTGGAAACTGTAATGATGATTTTAAAAAAATAAAGTCATTGAGAAACACAAATAAAAATGTTTCTTTAAATTAATGGTATCATGGGTGAAGATTTTCACAAACCTGAAACATTTTCTCCTTACTACCTTGATTGATTTACCATGACCACATAAAACAATATATGCGAATCCAGTAGGAAAATACATATACAAGTACACAATTAATGAACAACATCACCCAAATCCAACTGATCTTAATACATAAAAAGTTAGAGACAGGAAAGAATTCCAGACCAAAGAAACACCTCCAAACATAAAAACAGAGAAAATAAGAACAGGAAGGGAAAAAAGGAACATGACTCTTCTCTTCAGAAGAGAGCTTGAAAATTTCATTTTGGAAAGCAAGACTCCCAAATAACTCTTTGTTAAAGTCCTAATTCAACTACACACAGATTTACTAAACACCTACATACAAAGCTCAGGAACAGACACAAAGATGAATCCTGATCCCAAGACACCTAGGAGTAACAGGGAAGACAGTGAAGAAATGTCATTTGAGCTTAAAGAAATAATAGCAGAAATTGGATAAGAATTCACCAGTGTTAATCAGTCACTAATCCACTGACTCAATCAAGGAGGTGAGCAAATCCTGAGAATAAACAAACAGAAATCCATACCTAGACACATCAAAATATTAGAAACAAAACCAAACAGCCCCCTCATTCCAAAAAAGAAAGAAAATCTTTAAACACAACCAGAGAAAAAGACACATTACCTTTAAAAGGCAGGAGATTTCTAATTTCCAACTACTGACCTCACCAGCAAGAATGGAATTCAGAAAGACAGGGGAATGATAGTTTCAATATGTCATCAGAAAACACCTGCTAATGTGGAAATCTCTGTCCAGCAAAACTATCTTTCAAGAAGTAGAGCTAAATACAATTTCAGACAAACCAAAAGTGGGAGAGTTAGTCACCAGTGGATCCTGGAGAACGAAAATTTTAAAACGATTCAGACAAAAGGAAATTATCTCTGGTCTGAGACATAAAAAAAAATAAAAGGAGTAACTGTGCAAAATGAAAAATGACTGTGTAAAACAACGTCTAAGAGGTTTAAAAGAACAAGGATGAACCATAAAATTTACAATACTCCAAGTTGAAAAATGGTAATGAGGTTAAAGTGTTCTTAAGGTTTACATATTATTAGGGAGAAATAAAGTGTTTTAAACTCTATATATTGTCAGGAAAGAAGGTAATGGAAATTTTAATACTGAAAAAGTTAGGGAGGACTCTTGTAATTTCTGGGTAACCTCTAAATGAAGAGAAACCAATCACTATGTAATTTCCAAACCTGAATGCAGGGAGCTAGGGCATAAATAGAACAATGAAAACACTTAAAGTGCAAAAGAAGGAACGGAAGGAGAAGAAAAATAAACAAGACAAATAGCACAAAATAACATGGTAAATTTCAACTCAAATTTATTGCTAATTAAAGTGAACAAATTTTTAAAACTTTATACCTCTAGAGCCCTGGTCAGGTAGCTCAGTTGGTTAGCACATCTTCTTGATACGCTAAGGTTGCAGGTTCAATCCCCATCAGGGCATATACAAGAATCAACTGATGAATGCATAAGTGAGCAGAACAACAAATTGATGTTTCCTTCTCTCTCTCTCTCTGCCTCCCACCCTCCCTTCTTCTAAAATCAATTTTTAAAATATTTATGCCAGCCCTGGCTGGTGTGGCTCAGTTGGTTGGAGGGTCATCAGCAAACTGAAAGGTCATGGGTTCAATTCCTGGTCAGGACACATACCCAGGTTGCAGGTTACAAGAAAGCAACCAATCAATGTTTCTCTCTCACATCGCTGTTTCTCTTTCCCTTCTTCTTTCTCTAAAAGCAATGAAAATATGTCCTTGGGTAAGGACAATAAATAAATAAAAATAAATAAAAAATGCATGCCTTTAATAACAATAGCCTCAAAATACAGAAAACATAAAAGGAAAATATATATAGAAAACAAAAATTGGCAGAGTGGTAAGAAAAAATATATTATAATCATAGTGGAGATAAACCTCTCTCAGCAATTAACAGAACAAGCAAAAAAAATAAATTGCTGAGAGTTTGAAAATTTCAGCATCATAAAAAACAAATCATCTAATGAATACAAATAAATCCCTACACTCTAAGTGTGGAATATATCTTTTTCCTGAGCATAGGGAATATTTATAAATATTAACTATGTAGTACTGGGTCATTGAGTACTCTCAACCAACTGAAAGGACTGAAATCATGTGGAACGTATTCTCTGTCCATAGTATAATTAAATTGGTAATT